ATGCTGAGATTCACTGGGAAATCCACCACAAACAATCATTTCAAGAACAGTTAATACAATATTTTAGCAAACACTGAGAGACAAGCACATTCTAATTCAGTTAGTCCTTCAGTCACATAGGCAAACTTATACCTGGATCCATTGCTGAATTATAACTGCTCTAGCACTACAAAAACATCTAGATGATCTCCTCAAAAACCCTTTATCACATGACCAAAAGACAACAAAAAGCTAATTAACAGCCAGGCTATGTGGATTTAGATTTGTAGAATACTGGGCCTTTTTTTTTTTTAAACGGATATATAGTTTGCCTCAGTCACAGGAGAGGCAAACTCCTCTCCTGTGAGGACATTTGACAGGATATCAAATGTGTTCTACGGGAAAAGTTAACAGGATTAAATAAAATGGCATTCAAAAGCTAAAGAATCAGATGACCATTCCTTTAGCACAAAATAAAGATGTTCAGGCCAAAAATAAGCCAAAGACAAAAAAAAAATAATAATGATGAGAAGAACCAAACTGCCTATACATGTATTTTATTTGGAAGCATATACTTAATTTAGTTGGTTTTACTATAACCTAGTGGAAAATACAGTGAGTACAAAATATCATCAATAATAACAGACTATTTCTGAAGAACCAACTGGTCAAAGGAAGGAAGAAAGAGAATAGTAGGAGTATATGAAAAGCAAAATAAAGTCAGAAAGTGTCATGCATACACATGGATCAATGTTCTGAGTGATAAATAATGACAATAGGTATTAAATAGTTTCTACTATAGACTATTAAATCATACTAGAAACAGGACACCTTGCTTCTTAATCCCTATATGACATGAGGAAAAAAAAAAATCCCAAAAGCTTAATCTAAGACGCATATGCCAACAGTACCTTACACGTCCAAAGTCATAATCTCATTAACTGAACTGAAGTAACACCAGTTGGGGAGAAAAACTTACACTGAAAACAATACATAATCAAAGGAAAAACAGGCACAGTACAAAAGATGAATGAGAAGATAGGAACTGCAGAAAATTCAGAAGGTAACCAAAAACCTATATTGGCCACAGATGTTTACCCATGTGAGGAAAAGGGAGGAGTCATCTTGCATGTATTTCACACAAAGCAGAAAGTTTAGATAAATATTTCTGTTCTACATTTGAGGAGAAATATACTCATGTAAGAAAAGAAAACTCTAGCAATAACTAAGGAAAGCCTCAAACATAGGAACTAAAGTAAGACTTTTTATTTTTGTTTAATATAAATCAGCAGCACCAGACTACTTGCATCCAAAAACTTTAAGAGCTGGCAAAGGAGATCTCTATACTGTTAATGTGGATTTTCCATAAGCTTTGAGAAATCAGGGAAAGCTCGGAAAAAAGTTTCAAAGAAAGGTAAGGTGGTGCCAATATTCTAAAAAAAGTAAGAAAGGCAAAAATTTCAGGAACTTACTGTCAACCTTGTATTAATCCCAGGAAAAAGAGTAACTGATGCCTTGCTACACGATCAAGGAATAAATGAGGAAGTTCTGGCTTAAGTCACTCAAATGTAAACACCACACCACATTTTTCAGACTGACTTTTATTTCTCATGCAATTACAGCATAAGTTTGGTAGACAATAGGAACAATGTTGATGTAACAAACATTCGAGCTGACTTGTTCTGTAGGACATGGAGAAACTGAAAGTGCACACCGCATGTTAGACGAGTTAACGCTAAGGTGACAGGTCTACATCATTAACAATAAATCAGTCAGATGTATTTGTAGTTGAATCCTACTGGGATTAGTTCTTGGCACTAAGGTATTTAATATTTTATCCGTTTATAAGGAAATAAGGTTTACTGAAAAAGTTCATAAAAGCTCCAAGCAAACAACACAGAAAGACTGCTGATTCAGAACCATCTGGATCACTGGGGAATTAAGTGTTTCAGCATGGTCACATCACATATCTAAGAGTGATGAATATAAAACACTTATAGGATGGAAAACTTCCTCAGGAAGTAGTTGAAATAGCTGATAAGAGAGTAAACACGGGCTCCTTATGGCTAATTGAGTTCAAATGTGTTAATGTGGCTTTTAATCAGCTCAGAAAATAAACGGCCAGAAACAAACGCTGCTTTCAGTGTAGGACGAGGCCATGGAAGCCATAGGGCTGTCATCAAAACAGATTCTTCAACTGCTGTTCTCCCTTGGCAAAAGCCATTGCAGGTTCCAGCCAGCAGCAGTGGGATGACTACTTCTGACTTCATGTTCATTGCAACTGCTTTATCAGAATATAGCATCTCATTCAAGAAAAGGTAGTAGTAAATCAGAGATTTCAAACAGCAAGTACAAATGCTAGAAGAACTGCAAGACAAGTCTAAAACTGAGTGTTGCAATGTAATGCTTAGCATATTGAAAAATTCTCATTTGCATGAAGCGTAACGATCATAAACACACCTATAAAGTATTTGGTAGGGGGAACAAAAACTTATATTGGGGCAAAGGCTTAGAAGACCCACTGTTAGAGCTGAATATATAAGTTCAGATTAAAATACCATGCAGACTGTTTTTTGAAAAACTGCAATAATTACTAAAGCTTCCAAAGGTGGCAGCAGTTTTGCTAACGCCGTTACGTGTCTGCGGCTACTGAGCTAAAACAAAACACACGCGCACACACACCAGAAGCTACTAAGTTAAAACATGATTTCCAAAGCTATAGCAGAGCTGAACTAAAAGATGATCACAATGATTTTACTATAGGGCATAAATCATAACATGTAGCAACTTTTTTTTTTTTCCAGTTTTATAAGTCCGTGAGGTAGTGATGTGGCTAAAAATGGACAAGTAAAATACTTGTGCGAGTGACAGCTATCAACGCTCGGGCCAAATCACTGGCTATTCTCGTTACAACACTCTCGCTAACGCAGCGTCGCAATAAAGCGAAGGGACTTCCATACCCAGGTTGGGTCCGAGTTCCTGAATCCAGGCCCGAGCGAGGCTGGGGTTTTTAAACTTGATGCTGTTTAAGAGTTTCTCTTCTTCCCCCTCCGCTTCTAACAGCGAGCGGGACTTACGCAGGGAGGAGCCTGCTTTCGCCGAGAGCCGTGAAAGCGTGCCCGCAGATCGCGACCCGGCGCTACCCACCGCGGAGAGCTGAACTCTACCGGCCAAGAGCGACGCGCACCTGAGAGGAGCGAACGGGCCCTCGTGGCAGGGCTGCCCCGGCGGCGCCCCGCGGTCTCCCGCCTCGCACCGACCCCCGCACACCGGCT